TATATATATATGTGTGTGTGTGTATATATATGCTTAATTGTAGCCTTCTTTAGGGTAGGGGGAGGGGAAAAACAAAGTAAAAAGTGCACAGTGAAGAACAAAAGAAAACCAACAAGGAAGCAAAGCTTTGAAAACAATGTGTAGTATTTATTATATAGGTTTTCTTGAAATGGCAATTTATTGTTTTACGCCGAATCCTCTCTTATGGTCTCCTGTGTACTTGGCAATGGTTTTTTTCTTTTATCATTTTGTATTTAATTGTAAAATAACAATTACAAATAAAGAAAGAGAGAAGAGAAGATTTTATAAAAAAGAGATATAATGAAAAAATGTTTATTAAGTACTTAACATGCTATGCTAATTGCTGAGGGTACAATTACAAAATTCAGACAAAATTTACATTCTGATAGGAGGAAATAACATTTATAGGAGAGTGGTAGTCAAGACAGTTTCTATATAGGTAGACAGAGGGATAGTTAGTAGAGTCAAAGGCAGTTGATTGACATGCTCTTTCTAGAAGGAATTAATAGACTGCTGTTCTCAGAGCAAGTGTCAGCAGGAGTGAAAGGCAGGAGAGAAGAAGAGTACTGCAGCAGGGCAAGTGGCAAAAAGCCTAGATAGATGGCTGGATGGTCTGCCCTGTGGCTGGCTAGAGGAGTTAATACTTGCTTACCAATCAGGTTAGCTCAGTACCAGGGCAGGACTTCCAAAGCTTAGTAGGGTAATTAAATATCTCACACTAGGGGTATGATCTCTGGAGATATGGTATATCTATATTTATATCTATCTATCTATCTATAATGTATGCATATGTATAGATAGATATAGATCTATATTTATATATATGTATATGTATGTGTGTATATATACATACATATATGTGTGTATATATGTATATCTGGTATAGTAGATATGATATGGATGAAGATACAACAGAGAAGGCTAAGAAGTGGCCAGACAGTGGAAGGAAAAGTAGGAGACTGGAGTGTCATGAAAATTTATAGAGGAGTAATGATCTAGGAGAAGAAGGCAGTAACTGTAAAATACATCAAAAAGGTCACTAAGGCTGAGGATTGAGAAAGAAAAAGGGTCATGAGTGTTATCATTTAAGAAATCACTATTAACTTTAGAGACAGCAGTTTGAGTTGAACAATGAGGTTGTATATAAGGTTACAGAAGATTTAGAAGGGAATAGAAGAGAGAAAGCAGAGGCACCTAGGACAGATGGTTTTCTCATGTTTAGCTGAGAGGGTGAGGAAAGGTGATATTGCCACATGATATTGTGGATAAAATAGGGTCTTTTTAAGTAATGGGAAATATATGTATGTTTGTAAGTAGCAAAGGAGTTTGTAAATAGGGAGATAACTGAAAATAAAAGAAAGAGAAAAAGAGTATGGAGATGATAGTAGAGACAATTCTTAGAAAAGGAGGGAAAGGTCGATCATAAAAGGGCATGTTGGCCTTGGAATGCACAAGGGCCAGCTCTTCATCAGAGACTGGAATAAAGAAAGAGATATCAGGGCAAGAAGTCTTAATTGGGTGAAATTAGAAGGGAAGAAAAGGGAGTTCTCAGGAAAAAGGTTCAATTATTTTGCTTTTTGTCTTTTTGTTAAGGATGAAGTGAAATTTTCTACTGGGAAGGGTGAGGGTGCTAAGGGAAGTCTGAAGAGAGGAGAGGAGGTTTGTAACATCTCCTGTGGAGAGTGATATAGTGAAACGATTAGGGAATATAATATAGAGAAGTCTGAAGAGAGGACAGGAGGTTTGTAACATCTCCTATGGAGAGTGATATAGTGAAATGATTAGGGAATATAATATAATTCCCTGCCTTGCTGCAGGGAATACTGAGTTGAGATTTATAAATCTGTAATGCTCCAATTAGCATGGTTTCATGACTTCATCCAGTTCTATTCAGAAACACACAAATAGGAGTGAAGGAGGTGCATTGCAGGATTAATCCAGGATTGGAGTTTGGCAAGCCATGATTGGTGATAGGGCAAAGGGGAAAGAAGAGTTTAGAGTAGTGTTGAACTGATATACTGAGGAGTTGAAATATGGAAGGGAAGAGAATGTAGCCTGTGAGGGACTGTCTGATGTTGGCAGCTGCCAGTCAGGTACTGTGGCATGGGTAAGGTAAGATCTGGGTATTTTGGAAGTCGAGGCAGGGACTGTGGTAGGCAGAGTCGTGTGTACTGGGATGGGCTGGATTCGGAGAAGCCATGAGGCAATTGGGCAATGCTATGAGATAAGCTGGGTGCAAGGAAGTAGCCGAGCCTGAACTCCTGAGGCAAGGGGCGGTGCCACGTGGGAGTGGGATGGCAGAGGACTGAGTTCCCTCTGCTTAGTCCCCTCCCTATATGCAACGTCATCCCCAGATGCCTCTTGTGACCTTCCTGACCTCGTGCAGCACTGACCCAGTCCCCTCCTGAGTCTGACTTCCTAGGTCACGTACTCTTGTCTATGCGTCAATCCCAGATGCCTCCTTCCTGTATCCAATCCTGGCCTCCTACGTCACTCCCTCCCCCTTGGTGTGCTAAACTCAGACAGCCCCTTCCGGTATCTGACCCTACAATCATTGGCTAGTAGTGGGCTGGGGAGGAGGGGCTAAGTAGGTACTTAGGAACAAGCGTGGTCAGAACACACACGTGCGCGCTCCCCTGGCTCCTGCCTGTTGCTCTGGCCTTGCTGCTTGGGCTTGCTGTGATGGTTTGCTGTGTTGGCCTCTGAATAAAACTCTGGTGTTGGTGCCTCCCGATGGCTTGTCTCTGTGTGGTGATCCGGCTGAGGACCGAGGACCCAGGCATGGGTAAGACTCTGGCAGTGCTCTTCTTTTAAGAGAAGTGGGTACTGGCGCACGACTGGCAGAAGGCCGGCGTGCGGCCCGTATAGTAGCCAGTGCAGAGTGATGACCTAGGGCAAATTGGAGGTGTAGAGGGAATCGAAGTCACAGTGAGGAGCAAGGGTTGTATGATATAGGAAAAGAAGGAATTATAAAAGAGACAGTAAAGCACACTTAAGAAGGGAAACAGTTGGATAGGTAGAAGAATCAAGAAAGAAGGATCATAAAATTCCAGAGAGAAGAGGATATGCAAGCGAAGAAGATGATCAAGAGGACTGAATGCTGTAGAAAAGTCAAGAAGGATGAGATGAAAAAAGGTCATCATAGCTGCTGGGAGCCAAGATGGCAGAGTAAAAGCAGGGACTCGCGGAGCCCTCCTCCAAATCTCCTCAAATACCTCTAAAAAGTGACTTTGAGCAAATTCTAGAGTGGCAGAATCAACTAACAGATAGAGTGAGGCAGATTTCCAGCCCAAGACAACATGGAAGGTCGACAGGAAAAACTGGTAGCACCAGACTGATAGAGGAATGTCCAGTGCACAGGGCACAGTGCCACACCCAGCCTAAGCAAAGCTAAAGCAGGCTTTGGGGCCTGAATCACCAATAGTAGTGGTGGGTTCCAGTCTTTTCAGCCCACAGATGCCAGAGACAACTTAGAAGGTCAGTGGGAGGGGGTCTTTTGGAACTGGGTGAGAGAGAAATGTAGTACAGCACAGGGCTGCAGAGCTTTCTAATATAGCCCCAACATCAGCAAACCAGAAACAGGCCTTGGGAATAACTGAATCAGCAGCAGTAGTCATGGTAGCAGTGGTAGCTGCTGCTGCTGGAGCTATTAGTCCACAGACTGAATGTTTCAAAGTCACCTATTTGGACTTCCGGGAGCCAAGAGGCAGAGTAAGCAGTCAGTTGCTCTCACCTTCCCTTACTGACCTTGAAACATCCAAAGAATATTGCCCCAGGAAAAATCCTGAAATAGTAGAGTCAGCAGAAAGACTAGATATATCAGTCTTTTAGCTCATGAGGCTAGGGAGATTAATAGAAAAGATCCCTCTTGCTGTGTCTGAAGCGGACCAGTACAGGAAGGGAGGCATCCCAGCAAGCCAGTGGCAAGCCCCACCTCAGCAAACCAGTAACCAGGCCCCTAGCCCCCAGCACAAGAAGCCTGGGACGGTGCCCCCTGTGCTCCAGAAGCAGGGATCATCTGTAAAAGCCGGAAAAAAGGCAAATAACATGAGCTAGAAGCAACATAGAAAAACAGTGGCCATAGAGAAGTATCTTGGTGCCAGGGAAGATCAAAACAAATTCAGGGGAGGATAACATTATCAATATACCCACATCTGAAACCTCAGAGGGGAATATGAACTGGTCTCAAGCCCAAAAAGCCTCTTGAAAGAGCTCAAGAAGGATTTTAAAAGTCAATAAGAAAGATAGAAGAAAAATTGAACAATTCATTTAAGAAAATGGGAAAAAAAAGTACGTTGAAGAAAACAACTCCCTAAAAAGTGAAATGGGTCAAATGGAAAAGGAGGTACAAAAGCTAACTGAAGAAAACAATTCAGTAAAATTAGAATTTGACAGTTGGAAGCTAATAACTCTATGAGACATCAAGAATCAGTCAAACAAAATAAAAAGAATGAAAAAATAAAAGAAAATGTAAAATTTCTCATTGGAAAAACAACTGACCTCGAAAACAGATCCAGGAGAGATAACTTAAGTTATCTCTATCTTAGTTATGGTCTATCTGAAAGTCATGATGAAAAAAAGAGCCTGCACAGCATCTTTCAGGAGATCATCAAGGAAAACTGCCCTGAGGCCCTAGAACTAGAGGGTAAAATAGTCATTGAAAGAATCCACTGATCACCTCCTGAAAGAGATCCCAAATTGAAAATGCCGAGGAATACTGTAGCCCAATTCCCGAATTATCAGGTCATGGAGAAAATCCTGCAAGCAGTCAGAAAGAAACAATTTAAATATTGTGGAACCACAGTCAGGATTACATGAGACCTTGCAGCTTCTGCATTGAAAAAAGGCCATCATATTTGGTAACCAGGCAATCATCGATACTTGAGTAAAAACAAAGATAAATAGGAAACATTAGAAAATGATACTGTAGAGAAGAAAGGTATAGTAACAGGTCACAAGATATAAAATGACAAACTCACCAGGTTTCCCACAGAGAGCATATTGTAGAATTTCTCAGTCATTGGGTAGTGATCCATGGCCATAAAAAATATGTTAATAATGACACAGATGGCAATGGCCAATTTGAAAAATGGATCCATAACGATGGTATTGATGAAATGTTTGCATTTTAACCAAGGTGGGGAGCAATTCCAGATCATATCTGTGTTACCAAATCTGTGCCACCGGTTTGGACATGTAGGTCTGGACTCATCACGTCCTGTGAAGAAAAATGTAAAATGAAGAAAATTAATTGTTCTATGTCTTTGAACTTTTTAATGATAATGTAAACTTCCACAACTTAGTTTTCCTCAGGAAATTTGAAACCAGGGCTATGATTCAGAATTTGCTAACCAAATAGTAGTCTTTTGGGTAAAAATACAAGATATTCCATTCAAGTCTCATATCATTTTCATGCTACAGATATTGGGCATAGAGAAAAATAAATAAGACAAACATTAAACTGAAGATGAATACAGGTGGACCTTACTCTGAGAAAGACACCTGAAATGTGGTGGTGGGTATAAGAATAAAGAATCTATTTAAAGCATTTTTAATATCCTCTTATGCCTCTTCTCCCTATGGAAAAAAAAAGCCTTGTTAGTTTCATATGAAAATTATAGAACCAAAAGATTTGAAGAGTTGCCTTTTATAGCACTTAGTTTAGGTCATGTTAATATCAGGGTCAACTAGGTGGCACAGTGGATAGAGAACTTGGGCCTGGAGTCAGGAAGACCTGAATTCAAATCTTGCCTCAGACACTTACTAGCTGTGTGACCCCTTGGCAAGACACAACTGTGCCTCAATTTCCTAATCTGTAAAATGAGTTGGAGAAGGAAATGGCAAACCACTCCAGTGTCTTTGCCAAGAAAACCCCTAGGGGCAACTAGGTGGTGCAGTGGAGAGAGCATAGGCCCTGGATTCAGGAGAACCTGAGTTCAAATCTGGCCTCAGACACATAACACTTACTAGTTGTGTGACTTTGGGCAAGTCACTTAACCCCACTGCCTAGCCAAAAAAACAACAACAACAACAAAAAAGAAAACCCCCAAAATGGGGTCACAAAGAATCAGACATGACCAAACAACATGTCCACATTACTGTATACTACTTAGAATATAAAGAGAAGATGATATGATGTTCTATTTTGGTAATACATTCCAAAGTTGAAAAACATGACACCTTCATGAATTACTAAATTCATCTGAAATACCTCATGTGTGGTTTAAAGTTAGTTCACAATTCATCTAAAATTCAGAAAAAAAGTAATAACATACTTTCCATCATGTTTAACACATTGGCTCTTCTCATTGCTCTTTGCCTGATAGTTGGATCATCCAATATATCCACAGAAACACAGCAAGAATTTATTTCTCCTTCCTTCTGGTCTGTCCTTGCAGTCCTTTCCTATAAGGACATTTGAAGAAAAGACTTTAGGGCTGGATTTTGCCCACTGACATTAAAATTAGTAACAGTAATAACTTCCATTTAAGTTTCACAGAGGACATTTCTCACATCTGGGTGAGGTAGTAGGTAATGCTTCATTTATCCAACCTCCACCTCCTCTAAATATTAATTTTATCAAATCAGTGATTCTCAAAGTGTGGTCTGTAGGCCCCAGAGTAGTCCCTAAAACTTTTTCAGGGGGTCTATGAGGTCACAAGTATTTTTACAATGATACTAAGACGTTATTTACCTATTAAAATACTCCCTTTCACAACTACTTATCTGTGTGAGGCCAAATTTCCATCACATAATTTCAACAAAAACAACATATTGCAACAGATTGAGTATAGAAGAAGAGAATCCAACTGTATTTTATTAAGCCAGGCAATAGAGATTTGCAAAAATATTTAAAACAGTGCCACTCTTCTCACTAAATTGTTTTTGTTTTGGAAAACAGTTGAAAAAATAACACATTTTATTTCTGTTTACACATATTGGATGTATTATTTTTAAATGAATGTATAAATCAATACTTTAAAAATCCATCTATTTAATTCCTACTATGGTAAATATTGAGATATAATCCACATAAACAAAACTTCTTTGTGGTGGGGGTCCTCAATGAAGGTGTCCTGAGACCAAAAAGGTTAAGAACCAATGATGCCATCTCCACATTCTAGAAATTCCAGATCTGTGGCTTTGCTTCAGGAAGCCTCTGAAGCCCTAACTAATTTTGTTGAAATATTTTTCAGCAAAGAACAGAATCTGTAGGTTATCACCCAGTGATGACTGTGAGTCTGAGCTAGCAAGACCAATTAGAAGTCTCAGAGGACAAAGCAGAAGCATATTTGGCTGATTTTCATCAACTAGGTGAAGGGTGTCATGGAGCAATAACAGGTAATAATATTAGGAATCCAAAAGTCAAATAAAGTTGAGGCAAAGGGTTAAATGAAAAACAAAAAGTAGGTCTGAATACCAAGTACAGGACAAAGCATAGCTAGCTCCCTGTGAGTTATGTTGTTCAAGAGAAGTTTTGGCCTTCTAAAATGTTTTCTTTCTTTTTTTCTTATTTATTTATTTTTAGTGGTCAACATTCAATTTCATAAGATTTTGAGTTCTAAACTTTTTTCCCTCCCTACCCTACCCTGCTCCGAGATGACATGCAATTTGATATAGGCTATATATGTACAGTTACATTAAACATATTTCCACATTAGGCATGCTGTAAAAGAAGAATCAGAACAGGGAAAAAAACATGAGAAAGAAAAAACAAAAAGAAACATAAAATAGTATGCTTCTATCTGCGTTTATACTCCATAGTTCTTTCTCTGGATGTTGACAGCATTTTCCATAACAAGTCTTTTGGAATTGTCTTGAATCACTGTCTTCTGAGAAGAGCTAAGGCTATCAAAGTTGGTCACTGAAAAATGTTGCTAATACTGTATACAATGTTATCCTGGTTCTGCTCACTTCACTCGGCATCAGTCCATACAAGTCTTTCCAGGTTTTTCTGAAATCTGCCTGCTCATCATTTCTTATGGAACAATAATATTTCACTACATTCATATACCACAACTTGTTCAACCATTCCCCAACTGATGGGCATCTCCTCAATTTCCAATTCTTCGCTATCACAAAAATAGCTGCTATCAATATTTTTGTAAATGTCGGTCCTTTGCCCATTTTTATGATCTCTTTGGGATAAAGGCCTAGTAGTGGCATTGCTGGATCAAAGTGTATGCACAGTTTTGCAGCCCATTGGGCATAGTTCTCAACTGCTCTCCAGAATGCTTGGATCAGTTCACAACTCTACCAACAATGCATTAGTGTTCCAATTTTTCCACATCTTCTCCAACATTTATCATTTTCCTGTTTTGTCACATTAGCCAATCTGATAGGTGTGAGATGGTACCTCAGAGTTGTTTTAATTTGCATTTCTCTAATCAATAGTGATTTAGAGAATTTTCATATGACTATAGTTAACTTTAATTTCTTCACCTGAAAACTGCCTGTTCATATCCTTTGACCATTTACCAACTGGGGAATGACTTCTATTCTTACAAATTTGACTCAGTTTTCCATACATTTTAGAAATGAGGCTTTTATCAGATACAATGGCTGTAAAAATTATTTCCCAGCTTTCTGCTTCCCTTCTAATCTCGGCTGCATCAGCTTTGTTTGTGTAACACCTTTTTAATTCAAACATTTTCTTTCTTTCTTTTTTTTATTAACACATTTATTTATTTTTAATTTTCAACATTTACTTCCACAAGATTTTGAGGTCCAAATTTTCACTCCATCTCGCTCATCCCTCTGCCCCAAGATGGCATGCATTCTGAATACCCCTTCCCCTAGTCTGCCTTCCCTTTTATCTCTGCCCCCTTTCTCTTATCCCCTTCCCCTTCTACTTTCCTGTAGGGCAGGACAGATTTTTGTACCCCATTTCCTGTATTTCTTATTTCCCAGTTGCATGTGAAAACATTTTTTTTCAAACATGTGTTTTTAAAACTTTGGGTTCCAAATTTTCTCCCTTCCTCCCTCTGCACCCACCCTCACTGAAAAGGCAAGCAACTCAATATAGGTTATACATGTACAGTTATGCAAAACTCTTCCATAGTAGATATGCTGTGAAAAACTAACTCTATTTCCCTTAATCCTATCCTGCCCTCCCCCATTTATTCTATTCCTTCTTTTGACCCTGTCCCTCCTCAGAAATGTTTGCTTCTGATTACCCACTTTCCCAATCTGCCTTCTTCTCTATCATCCCCCTACTCTCTTGTCCCCTTTCCCCCCTATTTTCCTGTAGGGTAAGACAGATTTCCATACCCAATTGAGTGTGTATGTTATTCCCTCCTTGAGACAAATCCTATGAGAAAAGATTCACTCATTCCCTCTCACCTTCCCCTGTTTCCTCTCCACTGTAAGAGCCTTTTCTTTTCTGTTTTTTTGTGAGATGATTTACCCCATTCTACCTCTCCCTTTCTCCTTCTCCTAGTATAATCCTCTCTCACCCCTTAATTTTATTCTCCAGATATGACCCCTTCATTTTCAACTCACCCTGTGCCCTCTGTCTGTCTATCTATCTATCTGTCTGTCTATATATATCTATATATCTATATCTATACTCACATATAATTTTTCCCTCCAACTACCCTAATACTTATGATAAAGGTCTCATGAGTTACAAATATCTTTCCATGCAGGAATGTAAATAGTTCAATCTTAACAAGTCTCTTATGATCTCTTTCCTGTTTACCTCTTCATGTTCCACTTGAGTCTTGTATTTGAAAGTCAAATTTTCTATTCAGCTCAGGTCTTTTTTTTTTTTTTAGAGCTAAGCAATTCAACGATTTATTGAGCACTGTACAGGATGACAGGAGGGATACACAAGAATAAGACATAGCCTCCTGTTTTTAGAATTTATATTCAAGTTAAGGGGGGGGGACATATATCCATTGATGTTGTTGGTTAATCATTTTTCAGTCACGTCCAACTCTCCGTTACCCTATTTGGAGTTTCCTTGGCAAAGATACTAAAGTGGTTTTCCATTTCTTTCTCTAGCTCATTTTACAGATGAGGAAGCTGAGGCAAACAGGGTTAAGGGACTTGCCCAGGGTCACACAACTAGCAAGTGTATTGGGTCAGATTTGAACTCAGGAAAATGAGTCTTCTTGACTCCAAGCCCATCATTTTGTGCACTATGGTGCCACCTAGCGGTTCTTAAGGACATATACCCACCAAACAGTTCAATAATACATGATCACATATGATTAAGAGATTAAAGGAGTGTTATGAGCTCAACAAAAAGTAGAGAATGAAAAAAAAATAAAAAAATAGAGAATGACCTATGATCTTGCTTTTTTGTGCTTTATTTTTAATTTATTTTTTTATTTTTAACATGTGTTTTTAAAACTTTGGGTTACAAATTTTATCCCTCCCTCCCTCCCCACCCACCCTCATTGAAAAGGTAAGCATCTCAATACAGGTTATACATGCGTAGTCGTGCAAAACACTTCCATAGTAGTCCTGTTGTGAAAAACTAAGTATATTTCCCTTCATCCTACCCTAGCCCCCATTTATTCTAGTCTCTTTTGACCCTGTCCCTCCTCAGAAGTGTTTGCTTTTGATTATCCCTTTCCCCACTCTGCCCTCCCCTCTGTCAACCCCCTGCTCTCTTGTGCCCTTCCCCCTTTATTTTCCTGTAGAGTAAGATAAATTTCCATACCCCATTGTATATGTTATTCCTTCCTTAAGCCAAATCCTATGAGAATAAGATTCACTCATTCCCTCTCACCTTCCCCCATTTCCCCTCCACTGTAAAAGCTCTTTCTTGTCTGTTTCATGTGAGATATTTTACCTCATTCTACTTCTCCCTTTCTGCTTCTCCCAGTATAATCTTCTCCCACCCCTTAATTTTATTTTCCAGATATCACCCCTTCATCTTCAACTCACCCTGTGTCCTCTATCTATCTATACAAACACAGAATTTTTTCCCTCCCACTACCTTAATACCGACAAAGGACCCATGAGTTACAAATATCATCTTTCCTTGCAGGAATGTGAACAGTTCAACCTTAATAAGTCTCTTATGATTTCTCTTTCCTGTTCACCTCTTCCATTTTTCACTTGAGTCTTGTATTTGAAGGTCAAATTTTCTATTCAGCTCTTGTCTTTTCCACAGGAATGCTTGAAACTCCTCTATTTCATTGAATGACCATTTGTTACCCTGAAGGATTATACTCAGTTTTGCTGGGTAGGTGATTCTAGGTTGTAATCCTATCTCCTTTGCCCTCTGGAACATCATACTCCATGCCTTCCAGACCCTTAATGTAGAAGCTGCTAAGTCTTGTGTTATCCTGATTGTGTTTCCACAATACTTGAATTATTTCCTTTTGGCTGCCTCCAATATCTTCTCCTTGACTTGGGAATTCTGGAATTTGGCTACAATATTCCCAGGAGTT